CACAGCAGTGTTTCCGCTGTGGATGACTGATGAATAAACAAAAACATGCAACCTAAGCGTGGGGTAGCCCAGCCTGAAAAGAGCCATCAGGTGTTGGCCCAAACTTTCGGTTTTGCATGATTTCTTTAGACTTTCTCAGGCCAGAAACCTCTCAGCCGGGAGCGAGTGACTTTGAGGATAAACAAAGACATGCCCAGAATGGGCAATATCCTTTTTCAGGATGCATAGTTTCACCAGAAATTGAGAGCCGTGGTCAATACTGGTATAGCAGTTTTAATGAATCCTCTTGACACATAGGGCTTTCCTCAGTCGTCGCCAAGCCCCCCTAGGCATAAATTCCCCTCGGTTGCCATGACAAGCTTGCTATGCTACCAAAGTGCCAGCACTCAACTTTTTTTGTCTTTTTTTATTCGGTGGTGGCATACTCGGGTCATCTCACACAGTCAGAATGCATGTCGGACATGAATATCTCGCCAGCTGATTCATACATGACTTACCCAGTCAAACGGCGATCGTTGTTCAGCTGCGCGACCACACTGTTTACCCTAGCTAGGCTTGGAATGGCAGCCACGAAACGCTTGGAATCACCCTAATTCGGACAATATCCAGCAGGAAAACCGCAAAATGGCCCCACCTTGGACACACGACAATCAACCACTTGACCTTGAGTTTCAGCTACATACATTTTCTAAGCAGTAGAACTGCATGGGTGGTGCCAATCGCCACGATTATGTAAAGCTCAATCATCATATTGTTATGGCAATACTGCAATTTGTTGTACTATACGACGTGATTAGCAGCTTGCCACCTCGCCGCATTGCTTCGCTGTGCACTTTCCAGTAATCTCCTGTATGGGCAGACCTGGGAAGGTGTGTGCGCATCGAATTTTGTGTTTTTTGTTTTCCATCATGCTGGATGAAGTTCGAACACTGCAATTGATTTGTGCCCGAAAGGTTTTTATTCTATGCAATCGGTAGTTTTGGCAGTTTGGGGGACACACAAACCTTGTTGCTGTGTGCACTGCTCATAAATTGCCACCCGCTTTGATACAACCGCTCCCAAATTCTTGCGGATCAATGCCCTTCAACTTGTTGAGGCCACTGACTCTGCGCTCCTCACGAATATGTTCTTGACGATACCAGTGAGAAGGCGCTCATCATACACCACCGCGGTCGCGTCTGGCATACTTGGAGCAGAGCAACGTAATTCGAACAAAATGCATGGAAAACATGCTAAGAAAGCAACCTCAATTCATGCAATGTCCTGCAAACCAGGAAGCAAAATAATTAGAGCCCCCGTCCCCCAAGTCACCCTTTTTTGCTATGCTGCCGGCTTAGGGACAGCCCCTATTTGCCATGCCGGCAAATAGCAAAACACCCCCCTTGCGCCCTTCCCCTGCCTCACTCCCCCAAACCTGGGATTTATACTCACCCCAACCCACCCCGCTCATCAGTGGTGGCGCCACCACTCCACCCTACCCCAACCCACCAAACCCACTCATCTTGTGAGGTGGCCACCCAACCCGGAAACTGCTACCATTTTTCTTGCGGGCGGTGCATAGATCTCTCTCCCATTAACTGTTGCATTATTTTGACGCAGGCGGCATACCGACTCTATCCAATAAGCTCTGCTTTTGGCTATGTGGATGGTATAGCGACCTGACATTGCAGGCTTGTTACGTACTCCGTAAACACAGATCGTATTTTACGTTTTTACACATAAAAACACATAAAATATGTAAATCAACGTAGTTCCACCCCTTGTACATATGGGCAGTACGTACAACCTCCGGGAATCCCGCGAGTGGCATCCAGACGCGCTGGAATGGACAGAGAAATGCTTTTGTTCCACGCCGTCGTGGCCCTTGCCGAGTGTGAAGTCGACGCTGTGTTGCGGGTGATTGAGGAACCCGAGAACATATAACTGTATGCGATTTGTATCGTGTCACCTGAGTGTCACAACGAGCCGCAAAAATATACACAGCCTTAAAATAGCCCCTTTTGCAAATTTGTTTTTTACATAAAAACGTAAACAAAGACACGGAAACGTAAAAATGCAAAATCCAGCATAAATAACAAGCCTGACTACCACTCTCCAGGCTACCTGAGTCTGTATTTATTGTCATTGCACTAGCAGAAAAAAGTCTCAAATAACACTTTTTTCGAACACATATATGTATACAGTTCATCAGTGCTTTACACGCTAAAAACACGAAAATAGTCCAAGCCCCTAAACTTTGTACACGCTTGAACACGTGTTACTTGGCCCTTTTTGTCCTAGTGTTGTGTATACGGGGTCCGTAATAACTACGTGTTTTCATTTCATGCGTGCATATGCATAAAATATATATGCTATTTCGCAGGCGTGAAAGCGTGAACACAATCTGCGCTTACGCCGTAAGTAACAAGACTGCCCTTGAAACTACGCATGGCAACGTTTTTTGAGGGCGCGGCAACTCCGAACAGTGATACACAGCATTTGACGCGTGGGTCGCACGGCAGCACTCCACAAGTTAATTGTTGCATTTGTTTAGTGCTCAAAACAAAGGGTTCTCGGGAGGCACTGGAAAGGTGGGAACAGGGCTTAACTTCACCAAGGCTAGTGAAATCTGAAAAGTGTCTGCTTAGCAACATTCAGCCAGCGGACTTAGACAAGAAGGTTCCAAATATTAGGAATGTGCGTTGTTTGAAGATAGTGAACTGGAGCAGCCAGCACGTGCAGTCACGAAGGTCTGCCGTTGCTGAATCAGATTCCACATTCGCAGCGGCATTTGCCCTGAGCGCTGTGCACAACCTCGAGGCGTATCCACTGTCAAGAATTGGCATTGACTGTTTGCCGCATAGTATTGTTGCGATAGGCCATGCGCCAAGCTGCGCTTCGGCTAATTCACAGGAAATGCTCTGACAGCCATGGTCGCTTAAGTCAACGCCATCGATGCTTTGATGAATTGGCAGGTCTCCTCGGGGTGAAGCCTTCTTGTGCGTGGGGACCCACTGTATTTGATTCCTCCTGGCGGGGCGATCGTTTGTTGTAGAGGGTCCGTTTAGCGTGGCTTAGTGTCCGCTTCCAACAAGCTAATAATGGCTAATAACCACAATATGATGAGTAGCGGTTAGCTCCCAGCCCTTCGCAATTCCTTTTTGCATGTGTCCTCGATCCATTCATACATAGACGCTCAGCTTGCCATGCAGGTTTGCCCACAGACTAGTAATGTGTACGATCATATGTTTAGGTTTCCTACGACGGGCCGTACAGATGTTGACTGAAATACGGTACAAATGTCGCCCAGACCTTTGGGGAGGCACGTATGGCTGCTTGTCAGGAGCGAGAATGGGAGGCGGACACGTGGAGCCGTCACCACACTCTGAGGTGCATGAAATATCTTCACAGAGATCTGCGTGTCCACGCTGATAGCGCCGTCTTGCAGAGGCGTGGTGGACCACACTTAAAACAGGAAACATCATTCCTTCATGGTAGAATTTATCTAACCTTCCCTTCAATGGTCTTCTCAACACCAATGGTATCCAATCCCCCCGTTCGGTCACACGGTTTAGAAACACTGTTCGCCACATCGCGTTTCTATTTCCCGTACTTGGAAGGAGGCAGGTGTTCATGGGCGAGAGTCTCGGCTCCAATCGAGCTTGACAACATTCCCAACGACAAGCCAATGCCTAAATCAAATTGTGGCTCACTCGCCACAGGGGCCCCGTATCCACCGACACCCTACAAGACGTTCAGATTCTAAAACATGACTCAACAGTGTGACCTATCGCACGCACACTGCCCAGGATCCCATGAATCAGAATCTGTGACTCCTGCAAGTGAACGATGTGTGTTAGACAGCTGAGCCACTTTCGTGGCACTTTATTGCAAGTCTTGAGGCCCGTTCTCCGGTAGACTTGCCCTTCATTTCGGCATGGATCGCCATCCGGTCCCGGACGCAATGTCCCCACGTCTAATTGGCCAAAGCCCCTTCTCAGCCTCTGAGCGAAGTGACATGTCCAGGAATGCCAGCAGCAGTTCGGATGTTCAGCACCCATTGTTCGAAAAATCCAATAAAATGCAGGCGCTCATAGATAGGGGGACACAAGGGCCACCTACTCCACCTGGTGGTCATTAGCCGACCTGAGCTCAGACCGCCAGGCTCCACAGACCAAGCCCTCAAAATTGAAATCTCCAAGAGTCACACACAGTCGCAGTTTCTGCGACGTATGAATTACACCCGTGCGTCGGGTACTAGTCCGATCCAACGTTGAACCGTGTTCACCATGATCTTCAGCTGAACCATTCGCACGGCCCAACTTGAGCCGACAGACTTGGAAGGGCGCAGGGATGCCACCCTCTTGCGTTTCGTTCGCTTTCGCCCATCAGCTGTTTCCTTGGTAATCGTAGTAGTAGTCGTTGTACCCTTGGGTGCCGAGTGCCTGCTCAGCAGCGACGCCACCGCCATTGACGGGCTGCGCATCCGCCTGCATTGGATCCGCCGGAAAACCAGATCCGGATTCGAACCCCGCCGAAACGCTGTCAGACATAGGGTCCACCGGCAGTGGAACCACTTCTGGAGGTGGCACGCCACCAGAAAATGTCCCAGCGGGATTCGCCCCCATCGGAAGCGTCTCTTGAGGCACCACCGCCGGTAGCGCGGGCTGAACCTGTTCTGAGAAAACTGCGCCGGCGGGGGGCACCACGGCTGGGAGCTGCTGCGAAGCCGCTGATCCGGCAGGGGGCACCGCAGTTGGCGCTGGGAGAGCTCGTGTCGCCTCTTGAGGCACAACTTCTGGCACAACCGGAGGCGCCACTGGAGGCACAACTTGAGGCACCACTGGAGGCACTACCGGAGGCACTACTGGAGGTACCACTGGAGGCACCACTGGAGGCACCACTGGAGGCGCCACTGGAGGCGCCACTGGAGGCACCGCTGGAGGCGCCGCTGAAGTCACCGCTGGAGGCACCGCAGGAGGCACCGCAGTTGCACTTGCTGGCGCAGTGCCATTGCCAACGGGTGGCTCTGGCGCAGGCGCGGGGGCCAGCCCAGGCACGAGCGCCGACTGCGACCTGACGTTGCTCCCCACTGCGGGCAAGGGGCCGATGTACCCGAAGTAGGCGTCTCGGCCGGTGTTGTCCGGTTCCTGTATCTTGTCCTGGTCCGATTCCCCGTACGGGTGCTGTATGACGGCCATGATGTAGGACCAGCCGTTGATGTCGGGGTAGTAGTAGGGGCTTGTGGTCTCGGAGCCGTAGGGGGTCGATACTATCCTCTGGAGGTCGCGCGTTTCCAGGTCGTAGTACCATATGACGTCGTTCTGTGCAAGGGAAAGGGAGACACTCAGTACGCGAATGCTCGAAAGCAAAATTCAAAACGCTCGCACTGAAATTCAGGCCGGGATATGCGCCATGCGCTCGCGCACACTGCAGCATCTTGTGTACGGCAGAGGTTCAAGGCCTATGGTTTGAATTGACCCTGCGGCATAAATATGCATTAGCAGATGTCTTACCATGCAATTCAAATTTAGGTTAATCTTGTCCTATGTTAGATAAGAGATCCTCATCAGCAACAAACTCTAGGCACATTTGGCCGCCTCGTGGCGAGACCGCCAATGCCATTGCATCGCATCGACCACCTTCTTCTGTTAGAGTACGCCGGCTTCGCTGTGTCTCCGAGACAAGGCGGTACAAAAACTAAAGCGCTGCCTTCATTCAAAAATGCAGCGCTGAGGGATCGAGCTCCCAGGCCCCATCTCCAATGCAACAAAAATATCTCCTATCCGTTTCCTGGCACCCGAAATCTATCCACAGAATCTTCCACCTCTGCAAAGAAATGACAGAAGCTGCAATGGAGCTTGCTAAGTGCAAGTTGAAGACCCCCCGCCCTACTGACCGATGCTTCGTTTGTGTCAAGGACCTGAAACGCGTTCATGCGCACCGCCTGTACTACCGTAATATATCAAACCCTTCCGCATAGTAACGTAACGCTGGGCCCTTTTTCGCGGAGTCGATGAATAAAAAAGTAACGGTGCCGGAGCGAGGTGCGGAGCTGCCCAATTTAGTAACGGGTGTGGGCGCGGCTTCAGAACGGGCTTGGCCCCGGCACCTGGCAGGCCACTGGGCGGTCGATCGGCAGGCCGGTCGGCACCCGCCGCTTGCCTACCGGACGGGTCGATCCTCGAACAGCGGGAAGCGATCGCAGGGGAGCGTGGGCGATCGATCTATCGGCAGGCAGGCGCCCGCCGCTTGCCATCCGGGCGGTTCTGGCTTCGAACGTTGGGAAGCGATCGCAGGGGAGCGTGGGCGATCGATCGGCAGGCAAGCAGGCGCCCGCCGCTTGCCATCCAGGAGGTTCGGGCCTAGGACATTGGGAAGCGACTAAGGGGAGCGTGGGCGCCGGCGCCGAAGGTGCCAACACGAAATGGCACCGACGGGGAGTAAGGCAGGTCGGCGGGCGCATGCGCGGGCACCAACGGCGGGCGGGAGGCGGCGCAAGGGATCCCGGGGTCAAGGCTGGGAGCAGGGTGAGCTAGGCGGATGAACAAAAAGATCAGAGAGGCGGTATTCAGCAAGCACAAGTTCGGGGCCAGGGACCCGGCTTCGCGGACCAGCTTCACGCGGTGCGCGATCGATCCCCAGAGCTGGGTGGTTGGTGTCGCACGGTGCACGCACGTACGGGGCTTGAAACTGGTCCGTTGCACCCGAAACTTGGGATACAGCCTCTAGAGGCCCCTCGGAGCCCGCCTGACACGATGCGGAGCAAAAAAGAAATAACGTAACGGTCCGGGACGAAAATGCGGAGCAAAAACGTAACGGTCGGGAGGGACCGATGCGGAAGGGTTTGATATATTACGGTAATGGAAATCTTTTAGAGGCCACAAGCGGCGCATCGACACGAAAGCGGCAAAGCATGGCGCGGCGTGAAGACTGCTCGATTGCGCGCAGCAATTCGAGCGGCTGGCTCTAATTGAATACAAATACCCGATTAACGATCGATGGAAAGGCATTTTAATCAACCCAATTTCATTTCGTAGCTAAACCCTCTCAGATCTTAGAGAATCGTCTACAATTGGGGCAGCTCTCGTGCGAAGTGGACGGAACCACAGTTAAAAGTTATGCTGACCATTCTCGATGTTCAACAGCGAAGCCTTGTGGTTTTCGTACCTCGTGTTTTGATGTGTCCTCTCCGATGATGAGGCCGTTGTGCTCAGGGATCATGGCCAGGTTGTCTGGATTGGCCAAACCCCTAGTGGAGCACTCGTTGCCAGGAATCGAGCTGCCGGGACTCCCTGTGCAACAGCAGTACATCCCGCAATTCAATCGAGAGTAGCGGACATCCATGCTGACCTGCTCACCAAGAGCATCCTTCCAAGAAAATCTGTTGATGCTGTTAGCTATCTGGCAGCCAACAATGGAGAGAGCCATCCTTGTCCGCTTACTCACCCAATGGACAGCACCAGGGACCTTATTACCGGTGGATCAAACGTCTGTTTGTTAGTATACCTGCCCATTCAATTATCGAAATCGAATGCACACGTACAAATGCAAACAAATGCAACAATATACATACTGTCTTGCATGTTGAAGATATCGACAAAACCCTTATAATTCACGACCTCTTGTCGCCCTAATGTTGGTCCAAGCTTTATTTTCGATACGTATCTTCGCTCCATGGATAATTTGCATTCAGGACACATGTAAGCTCTCCTTAGGGTAAACGTTGGTACAAAACGCAGTGCATATTTATTTGGAATGAAGACAAATTTAGTCAAAGAGCATTTAATGATTATTTTAGTTCAGCCTGTGCCATCGCTGTCTTTTGTACATTGATCTATACCGCTCTACTAACTTATCGCGCCCGCCGCAAATCATCGCAAAAGAAACAGACAATAGGAAAAAGCCAGATAACACGTTTTGAAACGTGTAAAAATCTACGGGTTTGTGTTGGTTTGGTGTTCTTAGCGTGCAGAACTTTGATGAAATGTGTTTTATGTGTGTTCGCAAAAGCGTTATTTGGTCCCTTTTTTGCTAGTGGGAGATGGCATAAACGTCCGGTAAAAACCCATTTGATACCTTTTGGGTGTCGTCACACCGTCGTTTTAAAACTGCCCTGAAGCGGTGCAAAATGCTCTCCTTCGACTTTTGCATGAAGCATTTTGTGCTCACCGCAGATAAGGGCATCCATTCTCGTAAGGAACCAGTTGGCGTCAAGGTCCATCTCGTAAACACATCCGCAAGGATTGTACGGCAAGCGAATGTCATTGCTTCCTCCCTCGTCGTACCTGTGGGTCATGACGAAGTGCTGATCTCAGTCGCCGCCCTAAACAAAGTTTATTTGCCCTGAGTGCTTTTAAGTGCTTTAGCTACAACACTAAGAATGATGGAAACGGGCACTTGGTTATTTAACGACATGTAAGGGGATTAGGATTAGCACTTGAGAATTTTTTCCATCTTTCCAGGATGACCATCGTGCTGTTTGGATGGCACGACGAAGTACTGAAACTACTGCGGCGATTGTAGTATCGCATTTGATACTCATACGCTACTATTGAAGTATATCAGAGATAATGCGCGCACTGCAACCAAAGTGGAGCTGTCTGAAGCTGATTTCAGCGTTGACAATTACCACGTTCACTGCAACGTTTGCCTCGTTGGCCAAGCCGAACGCGGAATGCGTAACAAAGTGGAGCGATGTATCCATTTGTGTGGTCATTGCTATGAAACCATGGGAAAAAGGCCACAGCAGAGCACACATTTTGCACCAGATATATTGCCTTTTGCATCATACTATTGAGAGGAAAATATTTGATATGCTTCCATATGCCACTTCGCAATGGATGTTCTTGATATCCTTTCAGGTAAAGCGGGAGAAAGTCAAAGTCCCAGACGCCAATCAGTACACGATTTGGAAGTAGCAGGGTTACATGTGTCGTGCCCACGTTAACCTAGTGGTGATTGTGCATCTACACGCACTGGTTTACGTTACGCACTAGCATGGACATCAGAACCTCTGCCCAATATCCTATTTCTCATGCTCGTTGGACATCCACGCGTGCTTTCACCACTTTCTCACACAGACCGCAACGAATCTGCAGTAGCTACTTGCCGCGTTGCAGCGTGCAGTTACGCTTTGCTCAAAATACCAACACAACCATTTTGGGGCATGTATGCCGCATTTGATATGCACACGATTCGCGGACGTCTCGTTTGGCATGGCGGTGAGTGGAGAAAAGACGAAGAAAGTTCAAATGACAAAAGCCGATCACGACATTGCTCGCCCCTGCCCAAACGCTGCGCAGTGCTACTGAAACTACAATATGAACAAAGAAAGACCTACAGTATCGCATTAGCGGTCCTGTTCGCACCTAATGTCTTTTTAGGTAGGTTCTGGAAACGTGGTGATCTGTCGGCTCAAAGAGCTTCAGTATCTTGGGGGTGATTCAACGTGGGTCTGAAATGTGCGAAGTGGGTAGAAACTGGAAAGAAATCCAATTTCACACATTTCTTACTTTTGGGCGGGCAGTGTCACCGTCTGAGCAAGGGCCGAGTTTTAGCAATTCGCAGTCGAACCGGCTCTGGGTGGCACCAGGTCTTGGGCATCCCACCGAGTTTCTGGCCATCTGGCCCCGAGTCCAAAGTGCAAGCCAATGAAAATTTTGTAACAAATACCACTTCAAATGCTCTTTAATTCCAAATGACATAGAAGCGTATTTAGTGCAATTTGGAACCCATGTACTCAGCAAGAAAGCGCCTTTGAGGCTTGCCGGCCGGTCCCCACCTATCGTTCCTCCTCCCCATCCTCCTGTTGTCTTCCATACCGTATCTGATCTGCGACGACGCCATGTACGCCTGGTTCGTCAGGGGGTTGTAGGTGAAGCCCTCGATCTTGTTCCACTCCGTGGTGGCGCCCATCATGGCGGCGAATCGCCGGGTCTCCAGCCGGGAGGCGGCAATCTCCATGCCGGGCCTCACACGAAGGCACTCGTGGTCGCTCACCACGTTTATGCTGGTGTAGCCCCTTCGGCAGCCGTCTGCGCACCAGGGCGAAGAGCATCGATCATCGATGCCCAAAAATTTAAAACGGTTCAACCAAAATCTGAGGCGGCAATGAAGAAATGAGGGTGGCTGCAGCGACATAATGATTGGGAGCTGGAAGTTAAATGGGGGCCTGACGGCCACCTCCTGTCCTCGTTGCCTAAATATCCATGATGATGAAGTACTGTATACCGAAAAATTTTCGCGGAGAAAAAAATTCGCGTATTTCGCGGGGAAAAAAAATCGCGGAGAAATATTTTCGCGCACTCGTCGGTGCGCGAAAATTTTTCTCCCACGAACTTTTTCTCCCCGCGAAAATTTCTGCCGCGCGAAAATTGTCGCTGCGCGACCTTTGCGGGTGGGGTACCAGCGGGTGCCCGCCTTGGCTGTAGCCCGCTCGGAGGCCCAGCAAACTGAGGGTCCTTTGGCGTAGTGGGCGACCAGCAGGGCCTGCCCGAGTGGCCACCCGCGAGGCCTTGGAGGAGCGCCCGGATCGGCGCCTCACGGCCGCCCATTCGCGCCGCCCGCGGTGGCCTAGGATGGGCCCCGCCGGTGGCCCGGGTGGGCGCCAGCCCGAGGAGCGAGATGCGCCGCAAGATAAGCGCCTCGCGGGCGCACAATCGCGCCACCCGCGCTGCCTTGAATCGCCCCGGTCGGTGGCGCAAATGGCCAGCCGATAGGCGCGATAGGCGCGACAGGCGCACCCTCATTCGCCTCCCCATTCGCGCCCTCCGCGGTGGCCTGGAACGGCCTCCGCAGGCGACGCGAAGGGGCGCCCGCGAAGCGCAAGAGGCGCAGCAGGAATGGCGCCTCACAGGCGCCCATTCCTATCACCCTTGGTCGCCTGAAATGGCACCCGCCGATGGTGGGAATGGGTGCCCATGAGAGGCGACACGCGCCGGAGCAATCGCGCCGCATCCGGAGCCACCCTGTGGGCCGTCCCCAGGGCGCGCTCCTTGCGCGTTCGACGGGCTCGATGCAGGCACAGATTTGGTCGCCGATCGCTTTGCAAGCCACACTGCGCCTGTGCCCTCGAAATGCTCCAAAAAATTGTGGGCTCCATGGAGACTCGGCCAGCCGATGGCCACTGCCCTGCAAACCCCCCGCTGGCCAGTTCAGGGCTTCTTTGCCGCTCGGCGGGGGCCACACGCCGCAGCGCAAAGCCAAGAGGTCAAACTGCGCGCCCAGCGCCTGACCCACCCCTGAGGGGTGCCGAAAAGTTCGCGGGCGAAAAAAGTTCGCGGGACCAAAATTTTCGCGGAGAAATATTTTCGCGCACTGGCTCGACGGCGAAATGCGGGAAAATTTTATCCCGCGAAAATTTTTCGGTATACAGTAACTGTAGATATACTGAAGTACTTTGTCTTTGCAGTGAAGTACTTAGTACTTTGTCTTTGCTTTGGACCCTACTTGCGGTCTCGCCAGATCGTCCTGGGTAGCGGCAATGCACTCAGGCTACAAGCTCATTTCTGGAGAATCGACTTCACTGCGATTAAGGCATTCATGTATAACCAACTGCGCGCCGGAACCGCCGTGCCCCACGCTCACTGTTATTGGGGTATCTGGAAAAGCTCGGTCTTCTGTAGCTGAAGATGTCGTCGAAGTCCAGTGTTTCGGCCATCCTAATAACTTCTGCATCAGACGCCCTTCCCAAGTTGATCCACGTAACGCGGAACCGGCCGCCATTGCGAGAGCTCTCCTGAATGACCTAAAACACAGGAGCACAAGTATTGAAAACAAAATTATCAGAGTTCTACGTGAAATACAGTAATAAATGTATGGTGTTCATCGCACAGCAGAAATTGGCAGTTTGCTGGGAGCTTTTGCTGCATGATATGATGGAAAGCAGACGGAATTCAGACGAATATTGGACTTTGTGACTGAACGTAACACATTCGCATGTGAATTACCACATTTTCTAGAAAACACATGAGCCGCATTTCCTTACGGGTGCCGTGACTGCCGGAATCCATTGCATCAACCCTTAAATTCGCAACAAGCAATGAGCTCGTGAAAGAATTTTGACAAAATATTCGCTGATGCGCAGGTTTTCTGCCACTTTCCATGAGCACCTACAAGTGACGTGTCGACGCTGCGATACATTATGCATATTTTAACTGGGCGAAGGTGAATATAGGGTGGATGCGCCAGTGTGGCGCTAGAAATTCACTCAGAAAACCGCGCGAGAGCTCATTTTATTCCCAATATTTCTTGGCACATCATTTCACCAGTGCACAAATGCCGACGGCGACTGGAGCCTGACTGGAGAAATTTCAAAACAAAAATTCCATTCACAGCATTGCATCCAAGCAAACAGTATGTCTATGTTTTGCACCCTCACCCACCCATCAGGTCCAAGGAGTGCGCTCTCTCACTGTGCGATAAATTTATGACAAACGAAAGAGTACAGCTCTCACTACTGCTGCTGCTTACCACGCTCATGTTCTACAGTACTGCGTCTACTACTCGCTCTGCACGCTGCAAGCTACTACTTCTAATTTCAATAAAGATCAGTGCATTTAAATGCAATAGAAGGCATGTGGTGATGACGGAATCAAACTACTGGAGCGCACTCGAACTGCTGAACCGAACTGAACTGCCGAACTGCTGCCGTACAATATTACGTGTGACGGTCATTGTTCTGTGGCGGTTTTGTCTGGCACATGTAATTGTAACAGCATCAGACCGTTGCGTTGGAGGGGTACCTTGGCGCCATAGAGCGTTCCCGACGTAAGGTCTCCTGGCCGGTCCGCCTTGTACGCCGCCAGCAGGCGGTTGGTGCCGTCGTCCGTGGTGTAGACGGTGCGCTGGTCTGGCATGACGTAAGGCAATTCTGCTGACGTCCTGCCCATGGAGAAATGCTTCACGATGCTGTAAGAACCGTCTGCGAAGACTGTCGCCTGCGCACGACACAAGACCGGAATCCTCGCCCGTTTCAGTATATTGTTTCATACTCCCTTCCCTGTAAATTGAATCTCAATTATGTGCTACGGCTTTAAATCAGCTTCTATATGTCGCATGATGCGCGTTTATTCATATATCATGCTATATGCCGTAATTTGTTCTAAAGAGGTATGTCAATGGACAGCAACAGCTGTACCACCGGCGCTCGCCGCTTGGCTGTCGAAACTTCTTGTAAAGGACTGCGAGTGGCAATCGAGCTGAAGTGATTTCGTAATAGATAACTGAAGCATCGACTGGCGTTTCAACAAATTGTGTCCATGGGGCGATATCCATGTGAACAGACATAGAGCGAATTTACCTCCCAAGGGTATCCGTAGAAGTATGGGTTGAATGTGCTCGCGACGGTGCTGTAAGACGCGTCCCTTGGGTATATGCCAAACCACCTCATGAAGTCCTCAATAGCATCGTCCACATTCTGAGGAGCAAAACAGTGCGTAAGATGCAGCATGCATAACTCGCGTATGGCAACTTCTGAAAGGGTGCGTGACATTCCACGATGAAACGGATTGCACTAGGCATTCCACAAAATCAATGACGTCCAGCATGCAGTGCACAATCATCAAAGTAGCATACTGCAGGACTCACAACTGAATAAATTGGAACCGATGGAGTGAAAACAATATCCAAAGCATACACCGCCAAAAAAGATGTTGACATGCACAGACCAAGGCAAAATAAAGTAAACCAGCAAGCCCAAAGTTGCAAAAGCAAATGCGCATAGGCAAGCAGCACACCTAATGTCAAAAAATTGAATGCGATACAAGTATTGGACAGAGTATACAATAATGTGCGCACACTTACGTCACTGGTCCTGTACTTGCTGAAATCAAATGCATCTGGAGCAAATTCCTCGCCAGCTAGATGTGTCATCCAAGGCGACACAGACCCGGCGCAAGGATTCCAGAGGCCCTCCCAGCCGCTCCAGTCCATGTGCCTGAAACTGAAGACTCGCAAGAACAAGGGATTCTTTCAACCGCAAAGCTCTTGGTAGAAAACCTACGGACAGCACCCCTTACGATTCCATAAAGGAATCAATATCATAAAATGTTTTAAAGACTTGTTTACGCAACAATTTTGGTACTGTCATATGAACCTATGGTAAAGCAGGGTTTACTATGTACGTTCAGGGTTCACTATTACTGACTGAGGCTAACGAGCGGGCACTTCCGGTAGACTGAACAAGAAGACTGTTAAAACCCTCTTAAAACGTTCAGAATTATGTACGAGATAATGACCGTGTCTTCAGCCTCGATTGCATTGCAAGCGCTGGGAGCCATGGCGGGGCACACTCTTGCCCTGAAGCACCACCCCTCTCGCACGCACACAACTCTCCTCCGAGCACATCGCACAGTATCATACATTCTGTCCAGTAGTCCGAGCAGTAGTTTCTGAGCCTTAGCTTGGCCACCAGTTTGAACAGTGGCCTCTGTGCGGCGCTTTCGCTCACCTCCGGACGGACAGCTCCCCGGTGCTGGTATCTTGGTCG